AAAAAAAAAAAAAAAAAAAAAAAAGAAGATTCTTCTGGTATACGTTATAAGGCTCGACTTGTGACTAAAGACTATGCACAAAAAGAAGGTATTGATTACAATGAAATTTTCTCACCTGTGGTAAAACATTCTTCCATTCGAATTTTGTTGGCTTTGGTTGCTCAATTTAATCTTGAGCTTGTACAACTCGATGTAAAAACTGTTTTTTTGCATGGAGATTTGGAAGAAGAAATAAATATGGCACAACCGGTTGGTTTTCAAGTAGTTGGACAGCAATATTTGGTATGCAGATTGAAAAAATCTTTGTATGGGCTAAAACAATCTCCTCGCCAATGGTATAAAAAGTTTGATAATTTCATGGTAGAGCATATGTATACTCATAGTCAATTTGATCATTGTGTGTATTATCGGTGTCTTGATGATGGATCGTTTATCTATTTGCTCTTATATGTTGAAGATATGTTAATTGCTTCAAAGAGACATGTGGAGATTGATAAGCTCAAAGATTAGCTTTCTAAAACATTTGAAATGAAAGACTTAGGCAATGCAAAGAAAATACTTGAAATGAAGATAGAGCGAGATCGGAAAAAAGGTACAGTCTGGTTAACTCAGTCCTAATATCTACGCAAGGTATTGACAAGATTTAGTTTGAATAATTCAACCAAACCCGTTGGTACTCCACTTGCTCCTCATTTCAAACTTAGTGCTTCCATGTGTCCAAGTTCTGACAATGACAAAAGGTATATGGAGAATATTCCTTATACAAATGCTGTTGGTGCTTTGATGTATGCTATGGTATGTACTCGACCTGGTCTTTCACACGCAATAAGCATGGTGAGTCGTTATATGCATAATCCTGGTAAAGAGCATTGGTAGGCTATCAAATGGATTCTTAGATACATTCTTGGTACTATTGATGTTGGTATTAAGTTTCAAAAACAAGAAATGTTTAATCTTGACAACCTTGTAGTTGATTATGTGGATTCTAATTATGCTGGTGATTTAGATAAGCGATGATTGTTTACGGGTTATTTATTTACTATGGCTGGTGGACCTGTTTGTTGGCGTTCAACATTGCAGTCTACTGTTGCATTGTCTACCACCAAAGCAAAGTATATGGCAGTAACGGAAGCTTTTAAAGAAGCTATTTGGATGCATGGTTTGATTAATGACTTGGGTATTTTGCAGGAACATATAGATGTGTTTTGTGATAGTCAGAGTGCTATTTGTTTGTAAAAAAATCAAATCCATCATGCTCGTACTAAACATATTGATGCCGTTTTCACTTTATTCGAGAAATTATTAGTGAAGGGTGGGACATTCGTTTATTAAAAATTGGAACTGCTGATAACCCTACTGATATGTTGACAAAGGTGATCGCTCGTGAAAAGTTCTGGCATTGTTTGGATTTCATCAACGTCGAAAGAAAGGAGTAGTGTGTTGACGTGGTAGCAACCAAATCAGTTATCGAGATCTTATGACAAGGTGGAGATTGTTGTAAATTGTCATAAGGTCCTATTCGATTAGTCCTAGTCTTTAGGACTTTAAGTTTCTTTCTGCTGATATTTTGAGGTTCAACCATGATTATAAAGGCTATATAATGCCATGCTTAGAATTAATAAAACAGCACTTGAGATTCAATTGTTTATGTTCTCTGCTTTAACAATCTGATGCTGAACTTATTAAGTTTTGTGTGTCACATTGTATTTCTTGAGTGAGATATTGGTGAGATTCTTTGTAGTGTGATAGTGAGGTATTCACTTGTAACACTTCGTTTATTAGCGATTGGTTGCTACCCGTGGATGTAGGGACTTCTTCTCTTCGAACCACGTAAATATCTTGGTGTCTCTTTGTGTAATTCTGTTCATTGGTGTTGTGAGTACATTTGTTCTGCTTTCGGTGCACAACAAGGATGAATCAATATGATAAAGATTTGGTTCCAAGAAATTTGAAATAGGAATAGAGGAAAGAGGTTGGGCCTGGGAGCTAGGGTAGTAGGAAAGTGAGTTTCATCAAATTGAGCATGGCAGGTGATATGTAGCTTAGTGATGGCGGGATCAAGATAGCGGAACCCTTTATGAGCCAGACTATAACAAAAAAAAAAATACAAGGAATGCTGCAGGGAGAAAGCTTGTTAGGCATATAATCACGCAAATAAGGATAAACACGACAACCAAAGGGATGAAAATTGTCATAATGTGGAGTGTAGTCATAAAGAAGTTCAAAGGATGAATTACCTCTAAGAAGTGGAGTAGGCAACCAGTTGATAATATAAGCTGCAGTGCTACTGAAGGCGTCAACCCAAAAACGAGGAGAAAGATGAGAGTGAAAGAGAACGGTCAAGCCAGTCTCAGTCACATGACGATGTTTTCTCTCATCACGACCATTTTGAGCAAGTGTATATGGACAAGAGAGTTGATGGTGGATGCCAGAATTACGTAAATGAGTTTTGAAACAAGTACTAGTAAATTCGGTACCTCCATCGCTTTGAAATACCTTGATACAAGAAGAATATTGATTTTCCACAAATTTTTGAAATTGAAGAAAAATATCAAAGAAATCAGATTTAAATTTTAAAGAGTAAAGCCAAGTGAATTGAGAATAATCATCAATAAAAATAACATAATAAAGAAAATCCGAATTTGATTTGACGGGAGAAGGACCCCAAAGATCACAATGAATAAGATCTAACACATGAGATGACCTACGTTCATTGCGAGAATAAGATAATCGATGACTTTTCGTAAGCTAACAAGTATTACATAATGATGAAGAAGGCAATAAAGACGTAAGAGAAAGACGACATTTTCTATTTAAAAAAGAAATAATAGAATGATTCACTTGACCCAAGCGAGCATGTCATAAATCATATGAAGCACGTAAAGATTTGTTTCTAAGGACTGAAATTTACTAGTACTTATAGCCCTCCATCTCTTTTACCGGTTGCCACCACCCTTCTTGTTTGACGATTCTGGATAGTAATAAGATTATTAGTAAATGTAACGGAGAGAGGAAAATCATACGTTAATTTACTTATGGAAAGAAGATTTTTGGTGAGATGAGGGACAATCAAGACATCTAATAAGTGAATATTTGGAACAGGAGAAATGTTGACTTCTGGCAAAACGTCGACGAAAAACAAACAGCCGAAGAAAGTTTCTTCGAAGAAATAATAGTGGAAAGTAAAAAGAGAGAGGGATAGAATTTGCTGAAGACCAGATGTTTATTTCTCATTTAGTTGAATTTTTTAAATAACAAACCTAATTACAAAAATAGAAATAGTGGGCGAAAACTTCACCCAAAGTTAGCCAAAAATGGCCGGCCAAATTTACTCTCTTCCATTAGCGTGAATTCAGAAATTTAAAAGGTCAAAACAACTTAACTAAATTTAAGGACCATAGCTTTTATTATTTGAACTCGATATTTTAGCATAGTTCTTCAAATTTTACCCGCGCCAGGGACTTGGTGAAAATGTCTCCAAGTTGTTCCTCTGTTCGGATGAAATCAATCTTTATGAGCCCTCGATCTACACATTCTCGAATGTAGTGGAATTTGATTTCTATGTGCTTGCTCCGGTCGTGCAAAACTAGATTTTTATCAGGGAGATCGTAGCTTTGTTGTCCACATATAGCATTGGTGGATCGCTTTCTCTCCCGATGAGTTCTTCCATTAGTCGCGCAAGCCAGACCCCCTGTGTTGCTGCAATCGAAGCGGCAATGTATTCTGCTGGTGCTCTTACGATCATCAACGTCACCGGCCATGTCACTATCACTGTAGCCGACCAGCTTGAGTTCCTCCTTTCCTCTCTGCAGTATCTTACACCCCAGCCTCTGGTTCTGGCTACATAGCGCAGGATGCGCTTGACAACCACTATATGCTCCTCCTTAGGTGTTTCCTTAAACCTACTCACATATCCAACAGAATAAGCAAGATCAGAACAAGTGTTTACCAGATAGCGCAGACTCCCGACAATGCTGCGGTAATTGGTGGAGTCGACTATCGTCGTAGTGCCGGCCTTCCTTAGTTGGAGTCGGGCCTCCATTGGCGTCCTTGTAGGATTACTGTCCGCAAGCCCAGTTGTGTCCAGCAGCTTCTTCGCGTACGCACTTTGGCAGATGGA